TCCCAAATGCACATGGTTGGAATATATCAGCTGCTCCGTGAAAGAAGAATGGGCAATCTCCTCCCTTGTGATTAATTCTCTCTGAAAACCCAACAGAGGGTCAGCTGTGGGTTGGTTCTAACTTGACAGTACTCAACAACAACAAACCACGCACAACTGTGAGCGTATGTCAAAGAGTCACTGAGCCAACTCAAAGAGCTACCACCAAGCCCCCCAAAAGCCAACACAGTATTAGCAAGGAAATAGTGTTCAACTATAATCCAAAGTATAAAATAAATTTCCAAGAGTTCACACTAATATAAATAAATGTTGAATAAGCAAGTGGAGAAGCAGAAACAAATCTCCCATGCAGAACTACAAATACTTTTTATAGCTGTGCCTTATCCAGGCCACAGTTTTCACAATTTTTTTACTATGCATCAGAGAGCTGGACAATGACTAAAGATGGCAGAAGAAGCATTGATGCCTTTGAGTTGTGATGCTGGAGAAGAGTATTAAACATACATGGACTGTCAAGAGAACTAACAGGTCTTTCCTGGAGAAGGTGAAATCAAGTTGCTCCTTGGATGCAAGGATTTTGAAGCTCTATCTTACATGCTTTGGGCACATGGCCAGGAGGAATGAGTCCCTGGAGAGGGACAGCATGCTTGGAAGGTTAGAGGGACAGAGCAGGAGAGGAAGACCCCAGATGAGATGGATTGATACAGTACTGGGATAATGGGGGTGGGTGTATCCGAGACGGTGAGGTTGACTCAAGATAGGACAGGGTTTAGAGTTATTGTGCATAAAGTCACTACGAGTCTAGTCTACTCAATAGCACATAAGAACATCAGGTTGGAACAAACTCCCTGCACATAGTGACTTTCTTCTTATAAGAGTGCTGTGTGAAAGGGAAGAGGAGAAAAAATGAGAAGAGTTTTGCAATGGAGGAACCTGACACACACTATGTCATCCAGGTGACCTAGATCACCCTCAGCAGTGAGAAATCACGTTGATAGCATGCACCCTTTATATGAGTGACAAGAATGGCATTCTATCCTTGAGGTTTTCTTCCCCAAAACACATTTCTCGAGTCTAACCATTAGGAAAACCAACAAATCTCCACTGAAGGGCGTCCGACAATATAACTGATCAGTGCTCCTCACAACTGTCAAGTTCATCAAAAGTAACATTTGAGACTGTCACAGCTAAGAGGAGCCTGGGGAGGTACAGCAGCTAGAGGCAATGTGGTATCCCGAATGGGGTCTTGGAACAGACAGGAATTAGGGAAAAGAGGAAACCTACATCACTGTAGGACTTCAGTCAGTAACGTATCGTGTTAATTGTGTACTGTACTAACATAAGCTGTTAACAGTATGAGGAACTGGCATGGGAGACAGGAGAACTTTCTGTACTGATGCACTAAAATGTTAACAGAAAGATGAGTAAAAAAAACTGACTCTGCACCAAAAACAGTATATACACAAAAGCTCTTAGTGAACATTTAAAACTTTACTGAACTTCGTAATTTTAAATGAGGAGGTATTATTTTCCACTTTTTAAAAATTTTATTAATTTTAATGAGCATTTACAGAGATTTTGGATTTTCATTCATTCACTGTTGCTATTTTCCACTTTTTTAATTCGAAAAAGAAAATGGTTTGGTCCTACTTTCCAGTGCTGGAGAGTGACTCCATGGAAATGGACCCTTAAATGCCTCTGGAAGGTCTTTTAACTTGAAAACGTTTGAGGACAGAGCCTACACCATGCCTTAAAAGTGGGCGAGGAATTAATTCCACTTTGAACACTTACTTCCATAGAAAAATCAGTCAAAGATGCAGACAGACAGACAGCAGCATATTTTTTTTTTTGCAACAGTATTATAAATAACAACCAAAGACAATCCCAATTTTCAGCCCAAACAAACAAGATGCTGTTGTGTTGTTAAGTAGATTTCAACTCACAGCAGCCTTAAGGACAGGGTGGAGCTGCCCGTAAGGTTCCTAGGCTGAGACCCTGAGAGGCTCACATCACTGGATCATTTCTCAGGAGGAACAACTGGTGAGGTCCAGCCTCTGACCATGTGGTCAGCAGCCAGCGCCTGGGCCACCAGGGCTCCTTCCAAAATAACATTGCCAAATTATCGTTTTCTACTCTAGGAACATAGGACTTTTTTTTTTTCACTAAAAAAAAAAATAAATAAATTGTTTTTAATTTCCAAAGCACAGGTCTTTAGGTTTCTCTTCAAGCAAGTGCATCTGTAAACTACCATATTTGCCTTGCACATCCCAGGCCAGGCTGGTTCCATTCCATCCCTTGGGTTTTAAATAAGGAATTACATTTTTCAAGACTCGGGGAGGGGGGAGCGGGGAGAAGGACCAACAAACCTCTCAACATACAATTCTGAGGACAATGAATCTCAAATCCTTCTTCCACCAAACAGAAATCTACTTGCTGATTTGAAAGTCAGCTAAATCTAACACACAGATCCAGCCCCTGCTGAGAAATCTTCAGTGGCTGCTCACACCCATAGAAGGAAATCTAATCCTGCAAACTCTCAGCCTGGCAGGCTCAGCCTGACCCCCTCTCTTCCCTCTGCATGTTTCCCCTTTCACTCCTCCTACACCATCTTCCCCTCTCACAGGTTCCTACACACCAATCATCAGACCATAGTCCAGCTGTACCCAGCAAGCCTGGCCGAGGGAGCACACTGTATCCTCACACCCAGCATCACCCAGCATGCGACAGAACAAAGGGTTTCTCTGTGACCTTTCAACCCAGTATTTTTTGCTTGTTGTTTGTTGTTATGTGCTGTCGAGTCGTTTGCGACTCATAGCGACCTTACTTATACTCTGAGTATGAGTCTCTTTTTGCTTAGATAGCCTTTTATTAGTCCCCTTCCTCTCTGACCAATGGTCAGGGGATGTATCAAGATAGCACATGACACTTTCTACTCTCCATTTGGCCTGTCTCCAAGGCATTGCCAGCTCCTGGACATCCTGTTCATCTACCGAGTCTCACGGGGTTCTGCACCTGAACAAACCCTTCCTCATCTGGACCAGAGTGTTCAGAAGGAAGCCATTTGGGTGGGAGGGGTTTGGCCTTTCGTTTTTTTTCAGAGGATGGAATAATGGCATGAATATAGAAAAGGCTGCAGAGTTGCACACCTGCTCGAGCCCAGAAAAAGGGTTAGGAGATGGTACCTAGAAGTGGGCATAGAGGGGATAGCCCCAGGACCCCTGGGCCTTTGGACACTATGTCTAGCTCTGAAAGACTGTTATCTCGCTCTGCAATGAAAACTAAGCATTTCAGAGCCAACTAAGGATTGTAAAGAAATTTAATCCCTAGGCAGGTGGCCTTTGCTAAACCCTGCCCATGTCCTGAACCTCGGCTTACCCAAGTGTGAAATGAGGGACAGAGGAAGTACTACTATTAGTACTAATGCCAGTACTAATAAGCAAGCTCAAGTAAGGCCGTGCTGACTTTGCTTGCTGGCTCCTCCACCCTTGTTGGAGGTAGTGAATTTAAAGAGGCTCTGATTCAGCAGGAAGGTGCCGTGGGGGGTGGGGAAAGAATGCCAGCCGTCCCCAGGACAGGGTGAAACCAGGAGATTGTTCATTACAGATTAGTCAACACCCACAAGCAAAGCCACATTTGCCTTGTTTGTTGGATAACTGGATACTGTGTAAAACAGGAGTGAACGAAACAAGATCTCTTCAGTCTCTCACTGGAATAACTTCTTGGGAAACCCAAGAATCCAGAAAGAGAGAGTGGGTAAGGGGCTTTGGGGTTGAGTTTTGCCCTCCATAGGTGCATCCTGGGGCACTCCTCCTTCTGCCCCAACACCTCCCTCTTCCCCACCCTTCCCCTTGTTGTCCTCTGACTCCCATGTCAGGACTATTCTTTTGATGTTCCTAGAAAGTTTTTTTTCCAGACCCCTGGCTTCTGAGATTGGGGCTGCAAAGTCCTGGGGAGCCCAAAACTCCTGGAAACAGGAGGCTAGAAGCCCCTAAACACCAGACATGGCTTGAAGACCACTGTGGTCTGTGTCCATTTATTTGCAATGATGCTGTGATTACTAAGTGTATTGTTTTAAAAATGGTTTCAAGAGATATATCGATAGATAGATAATAGATGCTAGATATAGATATAGATAGGTAGATAGATAGATAGATAGATGATAGATAGACAGAGATGCGTGTTATAAAGAAAAACAGTCGTTATAAAAAACCTGAATTCAATGTGGATGTTTTGATTTGGTGTTTTGGTGTTTGTTTCAAATATTCTAGAAGCTTGGAAACTTTTCTAATAAGCTGGTGAGGGGTAGAAGCAGTTTTTCTCCTCAAGAAGTCTGCAATCATTCTCCCTGTAATTCCCCACAATGGGGTCTCCCAGGGACTCCTTCAGGGGGAGCCCCTTCCACAGCGAGGGAAGAAAGGAGATTCCAAACGAAGCAGAGGCGCAGGCAGCCTTCAGGCTTGACAGGTGAGGGTTACCAGCCACAGGGCAGGGAGGGCAAAGGTGTGGAGGCGCCCAGGCAGGAGAGGGGCGAGCTTGTCCCCTCCATGTGCTCCAGGGTGGACCCCAGGTTTTTTCTTCCTCCAAAACCTAGTATGGGCGCAAATCCTAAGTAACACTCAACAAAAAGAAAAACATAAATCCCTAAACACTCATCTCATGAAATGAATACTTGCTTTCAACTGGTCTAGAAATTTCTCACCAGTGTTTCAGAAATGATCCAAGTGAGAATCGGGAAGGTGAGGTCTCCTACTGGACTACACAGCCAGGATTTGAACGAAGTGTCACCTCTCTTCCCTCTACCCTTGACTGTCCACCATCCACCAGGAGCTGGACAGCGCAAACCCGGGAGGTACATGAGAGAGGGCTCCAGAGGGAAGGGCTGAGGGCAGGCCTGCCTCCGGGGCTCGGGTATCCTAGAAGACGCCCCCGCAGGCCGTGGGGCCCGGGTGCACTGGGTGCGCCCCCGCGAAGGGAGCAGGGGTGGAGCACGGGGGCGCTACCTGGGTCGTGGAAGGGCACCAGCACATAGTTGGTGATGGCCTTGCTGCGGCTGCTCAGGCTGCGATCCAGAATGCGCGAGGCTCCGTCTATCACCTGCATCAGGTCGTCCCACATGGAGCCAGTGACATCAAATACAAAGGCCAGAGAGGCGTCCCCCGTGGCAGGGGACAGCGCGCTCGCGGGCGCCCCTGCCACGGCCAGTGCCGCGGAGACTGCCACCAGCAGCCGCATCAGCAGCGCGGCCGGCATGGTGCTCAGCGCGCCGCCCGGCTGCGGGGCTGTGGGTGGAGGCGCTCAGGTCGCCGGGACGCGGTGGGGTCGCCCGAGTGCACAGCGCCCAGCTTCCGTCGGGCTGTGGCCTGTACGCGCTGGACAGGGGCGCACGGCAGGGTCCCTCTGCTGGGATCCCGGGGCAGGTCCTAGAGCCCACCCCATTCAGGGTCACCGGGCCCGCCCTCTTCCCTCCCCTCGCTGTGACTCAAACTTTCCCGCCCTGCTCTCTAGTCCAGACCCGAGGTTAGGAGAGGACGCAGGGCGGTTGGCTGAAGGGAGCTGGGGCCAGCGTCCAAGGCAGCTAGGGATGAAGATGTGAGGGAAAGAGCAGATACCTGCTCCTCCAGCCAGAGGGGAACGCGCCTCCGCTGGCCTGCTGCTGGGTCAGCCCAAAAGGGTTCTGGCCTCTGCCCTCTCTCACACAGCACGCACAATCTCAATCTCAATTTCTGTGTGTTTCCAAAGTCTCCTCTTTCCACAAGTCTTGGTGTGACTCAAAATTGTTATTTGTTGTTATGTGGTGTCAAGTCTCCTGCTACTCATAGCGATCCTATGTACAACAGCTCTAGCCCCTGCTCTATCCCTTGCCAATATTATTGTGTCTGGCACACCCATCCTAATAACCCAGTGACTGAATCAATTCATCTCATCCAGGGTCTTCTCCTGCACTCTCCCTCTACCCTCCCAAGTGTAACGTCCCTCTCTAAAGACTGATGCCGCCTTGCAACATGTCCAAAGTATGTCAGAGGAAGCTTCGGAATCCTTGCCTCCAAGGAGCAGCCTGGTCTCATCCTCTCCAAGATGAATTTGTTTCTTCTCCTAGCAGTCCATGGTATATTCAATACTCTTCTCCAGCACAACAGCTCAAAGGCATCAACTCTCCTTCTATCATCCCTGGTCATTGTCCAGCTCTCTGATGCATAGCAAGTAATTGCAAAGACCATGGCCTATATCAGGTGCACCTTAGTCTCCAGACTGACATCGTTTCTCCCCAGTACCTTGGAGAGGTCTCTGACAACAGACTTTCCCAAAGCAATTTGTATTTTAATTTCCTGGCTGCTGGTACCAAGAGTGTTGATTGTGGAGCCAAGCAAACTGAAGCTGTCAACAATCTCAATCTCTTCATCATCATCTATCATGATGCTGCTAGTTGGCCCAGTGGTGAGAATCTTTTGTTTTCTTAACGTTGAGCTTCAATCCATAGAAAAGACTTCAGTATTTGTCCTTCTGCAGCAAGCACCTCAGGTCCTCCTCAGTTTCAGCAAGCAGAGTCGTGTCATCTGCATAACACAGATTGTTGATGAGTCTACCTCCAATCCTAATGCTACACTTCTCTTCATATAGCCCAGCCTCCCACATAATATGTTCTGCATTTAGATTGAAAAGATATGGAGATAGGACACAACCCTGACACACACCCTTCCCAATTTTGAACCATGCAGTGTTTCCTTTTTCTGTTCTGATGACTGCCTCCTGGTCCAAGTATAGGTTTTGCATAAGCACAATCAAGTGTTCTGGGATTCCCATTCTTCTGAGAATCAGCCACAGTTTGTTGTGTGATCCACACAGTCAAATGCTTTTGCGTAGTTAATGAAACACAGATAGACATTCCTCTGGTACTCTCTGCTTTTAGCAAAGATTCATCTAACATTAGCTATAATATCCCTATGGCCTCTTCTAAATCCAGCCTGCACTTCAGGCAGTTCTCTATTGATGTGATGTTTCCGTTATTTTTGGATAATCTTCAGCAGACTCTTGCTTGCAAGTAGTATCAATGATACTGTTCAATAATTTCCACACTCTGCCGGATCACCTTTCTTTGGAATGGGAACAAATACAGATATCTTCCAGTCAGTAGGCCAGGTGGTTGTCCTCCAGATTTCTTGGCACAACTTGGTGAGAACATCCAGTGCAGTTTCTGTTTGTTGAACTATGTTGATGTGCCATCAATTCCTGGGCCCTATCCCCTTTCCCTTATGAATCAGGGTGAAGTCTCTCTCAGGGAGGAGTGATAGGGAATGGCAAGGGACACACTGACAAAAGAGATTAATCAGAACTGGCTTTGACAAGCACTGTGACAATTGGACAATTAAAACAGACATGTGGGGGGAAAGAAGAACGAACTGGGGAGGAGGGTGGAGAAAACAGTGCAACAATGAATGAATGAAAACCCAAAATCTCTGTAAATGTTCATTAAAACTAATAAAATTTAGGGGAGCTCTGGTGGCCTAGTGGCAAGGACCTGCAACTACAATCCCAGAGGCGCACGGTTCGAATCCACCAGATGCTCTGCCGGAGAAGGAGGGACAATTTCCTCCTGTACCAGTCAGATCTGATTTGACGGTACACTCACACAAAAATAATAAAAATTTAAAAAAAACTAATAAAATTTAATAAAAAAAATTCCTGGGCCCTTGTTTTTTGCCAGTTCTTTCAGAGCAGCTTGGACTTCTTCCTTCATCACCACAGGCTCTTGCTCATACATTGTTTCCTGAAATTTTTCTGTGTCCACCAATTCCCTTTGGTACAATGACTCTGTATACTCTTTCCATCTTCTTTTAATGCTTCCTCGATCATTTAATAATCTTCCCAAAGCATCCTTGTTGTTGTTGTTGTTGTTGTTGTTGTTAAGTGCCGTCAAGTCGCAAGCGACTCATAGCGACCCTATGAAGGAGAGTCATTGACACTTGGGTGCCTTTCATCCTCTCAAAGCATCCTTAAGTATTGTAATTTGAGGTCTGAATTTTTTATTCAGTTCCTTGAGCTTAAGAAATGCTGAGCAAAAAAAAAAAGAAAAAGAAAAAGAAATGCTGAGCAAGTTCATCCCCTTTATTTTCTGACTCCAGCTCCTTGCACATTTCATTGCAATATTTTACTTTGTCTTTCTGTGCTGCCCTCTGGAATCTTCTGTTCAACTCCTTAATATCTTGATTTCTTCCCTTTGCTTTGGTTTTTTGGTACTCCAGTGCAATATTTAGAGTTTCTTCTGACAACCATCTTGGTCTTTTTTCCCCTCTTCTGTCTTTGTAATGATCATTTGCATTCTTTCTGGATGATATTCTTGATATCCTCCCACAGCTCATCTGGTCTTCTCTCATTAATGTCCAAGGCCTCAAACCTGTTCCTGAGATGGTTTTGAAAGTCATATTGGCTAGACTGATGGTCAAATTTTGGTTCCTGTGGACTTGATTTAATTTTTCCCAGCTTCGGCTTGAACTTGCATATAAGTAGTTGTTTTGGAAGTGGATGTCCAATCCTTCTTCCTAGTCTATCTTAATTAGATTGTTCACATTTAGGACAGTATTCTGACAGGCAAGCATTTTACAGAGAAGAGCAGATTAAAGATATTTCCCAGTAGTAGAAAAACCCAATAGATTCCGTGTTGTCCCCACCCTTATCAGGTGTGTTTTGAACCACCCCTTGCCCTGCTCCACCAGCATTTACATCTACTTCCACCTACTCCATTCAACATCAATCTCCCCTATCCAGCCCTTGATATGATGGCCTATATGTCAATCTTTCCGGGCTTCTGTGATTCCTAATGCCTCAAGCTGCTGCCAGTTTCTTCCTCTGGGGGCTGTATCTCTTTTTTTTCCTATATTTTATTAATTTTCATAAACATTTACAGAGATTTTGGGTTTTTCATTCATTCATTGTTGCACTATTCTCTCTACCCTCCTCCCAGTTTGTTCTTGTCCAAATGCCACAGCGTTTGTCAAAGCCAGTTCTGATTAATCTTCTTTGTCAGTGTGTCCTTTGCCATTCCCTATCACTCCTCCCTGAGAGAGACTTCACCCTGAGTCATAAGGAAAAGGGGATGGCGTATTCTCTTAGCTACTTCCTGCTGAAAAGGGATGCTGTGGGTTTCAGGGTGAAGATCTTCTCTCACTACTCTAAAGGGCCCCTTTGGCAGTAGGAAACACATAGACTATTATGGAGATTGATTTTGGGATTTAGATGCACTCTTATTGATTGTGCTTGGCCGTACATGTTCATATCCTTGAAGATGTATCATGGGGGTGTTGCAACCTAGAAGACACAAATTTGACTAACAAGTTATAAGTACATGAGTCCAAAAATTATGGAAAAGTAAAAGAAAAGATTCTTTCATTGTTTTACAAACCCTCCCCCAGGTCCCCTCCACCATGTAGCCCTCGCTCTAGACTTCAGGAGTTTTGAACTTCTACTCCAGAATTGACTTCTTGTGCCTTAGGGCCTCTTCTCCTCCATTTATCAGGGGAGGTTGATGAATCCTATAGATTTGATATACAATGTTGTCTTCCCAAGATTTGATGGTGTGCTTGACCTGCGGGCTTCTGGTAGTCATAGTTATTTGTACGTGTGTGCTATGGGGTCTTCTAAGCCACCTTCTGCCACATGTGCTGTTCCCCTCCCTCTGCCCCTCTGCCCCCTCTTTGTGCTCCAAGATTTGAAGACGGGCTAGACCCTCAGGGTTCTGGGAGTCATAGTTATTCATACCTATGTGGCATGGGGTCCTCTAAGACACCTTCTGCCACACGCACTGTAATTATATTTATAATAATTCACTCATTGCTGTCGGATTGGAACCAACTCACAGCTGACCCTCCACCACTTTTGAAAGCCTATGAATCTCACAGGAGGAAATTGTCCATCTACGGAGCTACCAGTGGATTCAAACCACCAGAAAGGTATGCCCTTTGCTTTTACTGTGCAACTCCTTGTGGACTATGCCATCAGAGCTCACTACCACCATAAATTGGTCACCTGCTGTACCAGAAAGAATTGACTGACAGATAACCACTCAGGAAGTAGAATGTGCTCAAGAATCAACGGTAATAAATGAAGAAGTTCAAGCTGAAGGAATTAGCAAAAAACAAGGCCCCTCTCGGAATTGCTGGATCAACATATTTCAACAAACAGATGCAGACCTGAACATGCTCACCAGGCTGTGCCAAGAAATATGGACACAGCTACCTGGCCAACTTACTGGAAGA